GAAAAAGAGAGGGTAAGGAAACAAGACCCAGCAGCTGAAAAGAGAAGTTTGTCAAAAAGAAGTGAGTCGATAACATGCAATAAAGGCTTTTGAGTTATGGTAGGTGAAAAGCCCTCTAAAAAGTTAATTTTTAGAAGGCCTCACAGAACAAAATATTATGAAAGGAGACTTAAACAAGAAGGTGCACTATAAAACCATTCACGCAACGTCATGAAATTGCTTCCGTCGATCACAGTATAAAACGAGGTGCCCTGGGCACAATATGGCGGCCAGATTGAATGAAATTTGAAAATAACAAAATGGCTCCCGCACTGGCACTGTTCTTATCATGGCTCAATCACTAGAAAAACGCATTATAAAAACATTAAAATTAGCAAAGGTGAGAGAGTTAACCTACAAGCACACCTAGAAAGCATAGCAAGGAGAGAAATGGTATAATTGACTTGAAGTAATAATTTTACATTATTATCAAATATTATATTGTATATTCTGAAAAATCTGCCAACAGCCTAAGAAACACGGTCAATGATGCTCTCAGGCAGGTAATAAGTGATAGTGGCAAGGGAATAGCCCTCACTACTACACAGAAAACCAGCCCAAGAACCGCCACCACTGGGACCAGACGCCCTGCCGACTACCATATATCAGCCACCATCATCAAGTATAAGTGGCTCCAGCAAAAGACCCCAACATGGTCCTCATTCAGATCCTGGTACTGGTAGCAGTTGTAACATTCAACGATCTACTGGAAGAAGTATATACAAAAATATTATTCTAAATTTTTAAAAATATAAACATTATGTATATAGGGTTGAATAGATATTGGGATGGTGAGGAGCCTCCTGTATCTGTGTACCTCTTCCCAACTGTGCCCAGTGATGCCGAAAAAAATATGGCAGTACTGTGATGGTAATATACCAGTACAAGAAAAATGCTAGTACGAGCCTAAAAATATTAATGCCACCATATGATTACTTAACATTACAAATAATACATACTTCTGTATCTAGTAACTAATAAACTTGAGTTACGATTACAGGACTCACAACTGGGATTGAATCGAAATTCAGCACAAATCACATGACGATCTAAAATTATGAATAGTTTTGATGATGTTGATAATAATAGTAATAATAATAATAATACTAACAAAGAATACCTGTCTGTAACTGATCATCCTTCAGTCAACCATGCCACACTAACACTAATGTATGTTTCCCAACAGCCGATCCTATATCTATGCACAAAATGGCTGCTCTTTGTCCCCATCACCCATACCTTATTTATATATAATCACTAATTTAAACACATTATAACTACCTGAAGTATTGAGCATAGCAGAAGAACTACTAGTATCATGTGATACAGCCTCAGAATGATTCTCTTTTTAAACTAAATCGGCGAGTAAATGAGACAGCAGTTCCAGCGCCTTCTTTTAGTGCCTAAAGACCCCTTAACTCGATCAGGCCTAACTAGAACTGGTCCTTGTCTTGTTTGAGAGTAAAATGGAAGTCCATTTGGTACCAAAACCCCTTTCTTCCTGCGTTTTTCCTTGAAGAAGCAACACCATCTAGAGCCAACATTTTTACACGTGAATAAAACGGAAGCCACCATGCCCAGGGCCCCGCCTTTTATACCGCACCTTCTCGTTTAAGACGGAGGGACAGAGAGACAGGTAAGTGACTTAATCAGTTTACAGGAAGCATAAACAGAAGTAATAACATGGCAGAAGCGAGATGACCAGCCTGCCTGACACCAAGACCATCTAATTGAACAGGGAGAGAGGCCTTTAGGTGATACATAAGGAAATAGACCCTGCAACCAGATCAGAAAGGGAGGAAAACATAAGATTATCGAAAGTCTTGGTAACAGAGTAGTAGTAAGAAGAATGCAGCTGAACTCATGGAGACTGAGGCAGGCATGCAGAATCGTCTATGCTGAGTGGGCATTTTTAGCTTTGGGGAGGAGGCAAACATAATTCCTGATTGTATCAATCCTATCATTAAGCTTGGCTAAACAAAAATCCTGCGACCCAATTGGGGATTCAAGGAGAATGAAACCCTCCAAAGAGGATGGAATGTCATCAGAAATGTGAGAGTGAAGGCAGGAGCCAGCAGGAAAGATAACAAGGCACTTAGAAAGGTTGTAAAAAAATTACAAGAGTTCTCCTCTTCAATGATGGCTAGAGTTCAGCAAAGGATGTTTGATTAACAACAGATAATCCCATCATCTAAATAACACCAAGGGTAGATGATAGTTAGAGAGAGTGTCAAACTGCACTGTGCTAGCTGGAATATGACCGCATAGAACTAAGTCATGTGAGACCTGAATAGTGGGTGTACCTACTAAAAGCACGTGTAGAAGTTTGCATAAGGAACAATGGAGAATACTTGAAGAAGCTTTAAACATCATACAAATACACTTTATAATCCTGCTGAAGCCTGTTATGAAGTACAGCTATAGCAGAGACTTCAAAACAGCCTGTAAACCTTGTTGAGCAAACTAGGCAGCCTTTATTCCTACTCAGCCGCACCCAGTCTGTGGGAATGCCCAAAGATGCGCAAGAATGTTCTACATGGTCAAACCTTGTTGAGCAAACTAGGCAGCCATTTTTTCCTACTCAACTACACCCAGTATGCGGGAATGCCCAAAGATGCGCAAGAAAGTTCTATACGGTCATATTCCAGCTCGCATAGTGCAGTTTGACATTCTCTTTAATTATCATCTACTCTTGATAACACCCATTGAGGAAAAGACCAGGGATCTCATTGGCAATTCTCTGAACAATAGGATGGTGAAGAGAAAAAGGCACTGGACATAGAGGATCTGTCTTTTGGACCCCACAGCAACAAACAATGGTGTAACGACAAAAGGGAGATGTGTGTGGGTGGAGTAGCAGTACTTCATTCAAGAGGAAGGAGATTGAATGGAGGACATGACATCCCGAAACATAGCTATTCTGTTATTGCTTTTAAAAGCATTGCAGAAAGCTAGCTACAAAAGCGTCAAGTGAGATGGGATAGTGGAATCAGGCTGAATGATTCTCAGAGAGTGTATTAGAGCCTCAGAGCCATTAGCAGAGGCCACACCCAGCTGATTGGGGGGAGATGGCGCTTAACCTAAGGCAATGAAAAGGAGAGACATATTGAAGTAAGCTGATTGAGAGCTTTGCCAATATCTATAGGATGAAGGTCCCTGGATTTTTTAACACAAGTAAGACAGCCCCACAAAAATGAGAAAAAGAAGGGGCAAGACATGAGCTGAGAAGGGTGACCAGCTGAGACAAAGGGAGTAAGGTAGCAATAGCAATGCTGATGGAAGGACAACCAATGGCTTCCTTCAGGTAGTCAGCTCAAAGTCCAGATGTGCTAGGAGCAGTGTCATATTATTCTTATTAGGAAGTGCCTAAAGCTCCAGTAACCATTTATTGTCTGCAATGCTAGAGCTCCGGCAGACACCCCAGTGGTGCTATACACTTGCGCATTATAGATCCACAATATAGTTTTACTTAGTTTAATTATTTATTGTTTTTTTTTAATAATTATTTATTAACTCATTGCCATTAATTATTTATTGGCCTTGCCCAGTTATGTGTAGGTTAAGACTAGGTACTTTGGTAGTCAGTCTGTCATTCATTCGGTGGTACTATAATTGTGGCCTAGTAGGTAAAAATGGTCAAGTTGGTGGCATTTAAGAGATCATGAACATGTAACGGTGACTTTGTATGAAAACTTTTTACATAACATGAAAACATTGGAGTATAATGTTACTATCAATGTAATGAAACTATGATAACTGATTTTTACATGTTTTTGGGTGCTTACTTAAATGGGAGCCATTGCTGCCAACTCTACCATTTTTGCCTACTATGTCACAGATTTTGTCTTTGATAATGTATAATTTTCCTTACAAGCATTCGCTAAACCTGTGAGAGCTTCTCTTCTGTTACAAAAAGGCTTGTTTTTCTGCCTCAAGATGTTTAGAGAGCAGCTCCAGGTAGTACAAGCTTTTTAGCGCACCAGAAGATGCCCAGCAATAGCAGCAGTACTCTGTGGAGGTAAATGATATTTTATCCCAGTAGAGCAAGACCTAGTTAATGTGTGGGACTCAAAGTCTTACATGTTGGTGAGTTATAGCTACATGAATATTCATCTCTAGTGAAGTGCTGTACAACAGCATGCTATAATCTAAGGATCCTAAGCGCTATTAAGTCACTCAAATTATCTAGGCAAAAGAATTTTTGCCATTATGACATCATAATTGCACAGAGAAGAGAAAAACAAGAAGCATGCTGCTCAATATGGTCTGGCTGCATTATTGATAATTAATGCCACACCTCTAAAATTGAATGTGATAATGCCTCAAGCTGCCAGCATGCAAGAGTATGATTAAAGGGAGCTGGAAAGCTAGATGTTAAGACAATCCTTCTTTTTGTATGTAGACTTTGTTTTTTTCTGATAGTAGCCACATCACAAGGTCTAAAACCCATGTTGTGTTTAAAATAAAAGTGCATTAAGTATAAATGCAATAAATATACTGGCTCAGGCTAGCTAAGCGTAACACCTCCTAAACAGCTTTAGGGGCAAAGCCACGCAGCTTTAGTGTGTTGTATTCAATAATTATTTGTAATTATCAGAGTCCATTATTCTAGTATAACATGAAGTAGGAAACCAGTGCTTAGCTTTTGTAACTCTTACAAAACATCGATAATTACCCAAGTAAGGCACTTATCACACTGGATTGAGTCTTTCTTTCATTGATTGTTTTGTTAGTGCAACGGAGTAATAACAAAAGACAATTTTTGAGACAATTCACAAGGGTTTGATCTATGTATAGAATACTTGCAATATGCACACAACCCAAAAGCCATAGCATTGGTTTTCCAAAGCCAACGTGCCTTTTGCATTTCTGTGGGTGTACACTTTGTCCTTATGGTAATATTGATTGGTTAATTAATTGTAGTTTAATCTTGGAATCATCCAAAAGTTTCCTTCAGTCTTGGAGCAGCTTTTGTGTGCAAACAAAAAAACTATTTCAAGAATATTTTAGTTCCCAAAAGTAATACAATCCATACCTAGAATATGCACAAAAGTTGACTCTAGCAATATGGCTAATCTAATAAACTCACCATGTTATATGTGTATTGTTTGAGTAAAATCATATATCTAATTATATATCTCACCATGTTCTATGTGTACTGTTTGAGTAAAATCATATATCTAATGATATATCTTACATGTAGTAACAATAACAAGGCTCAGGCAGTATTTGAGGCATCATTGCTGGTGTGCAACAATTGGGTTCACCTGAGAGAGTTTGTGGGGATAGAGGAGGTGAGAATAAACAAGTGGCAGCATTATGCTTAAGCCTCCAATTACAGGCAGGCTTGCTTGCGAAAAGCAGGTATGTGCCATTGTATCAAATGCATAGGATTTTTGTTTCTTTTTGGCTTTGTCTAGTTGAGATTTGTTTCTCAAGTTAATAGTAAAAACAATCTTGAGTACACATGATTGTAATCCTTTCCCGCTCTTAAATTGGCCATGTCCATATGCATTATTAGGAAAGTGACCTCCATTTTTTGAAAATGACCATTACTAATGGCCACTCACTGCATGCCACGTGGCATTTGTTGCATCAATGTTGTAAATTTCCTTTTTTTAATGTTTTATTATTAGTGTGACATGTATTTCCTTTCTAATGAAGGTCATCATGTTTAAGTTGTTGAGTGAATTTACAAAAAAAATTTTTAATGTGAATTTAACAGTTATAGCTGAATGTGAAAACAAGCCATGAGAGAATGGTCCCAGCCTGAATTTCCCAGAGTAATACGAATGATATATTTGTATTATTTTAATACTTTGTGCAGAGAAAATGAGACATCATTATTTTTGAGAAAATGCCACTGAACATAATGGTCAGACATGTAGCTAATTTGATCTTACATGCATGAACAGACTGAAGCCACTTAAAGCAATGACTACATGCTGTCATTAAATCACCATTGTGGATCAGTGGGTGACAGACAAGCTTTTAATCCCTACAGTGGCTTTTTCATCTGGATCATGTTTTCCTGGACCTAGTAATTGTCATCTGATTGCAGTCATGTAATGTTGAAAAATTTTTTGTTGATTTCTTTCTCAGCCGGTAAGTTAAGTTACATGGTGAAAAGTTTGGTCGCTTACATGATATACTCCGGAAGAGTTTATTATTGCTATCTGGTGTGTCAGTACTATGACTTATCATGACAATGTGCAATACTCTATTGCATGATAGTGAGAAACTAGTTACATTATAGTGAAAATTTGAATTCAGATGCATTGGTGTTTTTATGGATTTAATTTTCTTTTTCCATCATAATTATTTAACTATAGTTCTTTCTACTATTTCCAATAATAGTACATACTGCATGTATCACTGTCAGAACTAAATTGAATTTATATACATTTTGAGGTAAGTGTTT